CAGAAGGTGAGTTTCACACTTAAGTCTACATGCATTGTCCTAAAACGTGTCATTTAATAAACTAACTTAATTAACTTCAATGGGTAGTACTTAATTGTAGCAAAAGGCTTGTAGAATCAATTTTATTTTTAAAATCCCAATAAATTAATGAATTAAACACACACACTAACACCCCGTAATTAACAGAAATGTTTACAAATATAAATGAACATATTGAATCAATTGACACAATCCAATAGAATTAGATATAAAATGGTTTAACTGTAAACATGGTTATAGAGAACTCTGGATAATATTGGACTAATAAAGTTTTTTCCAATACGTTTTCTGTAACAATGTGTGGTTGTAATTAACTATAGTTGTTAACTACATTAAATTTTTTTGTATTTTAACATTTTCCTTATTATTACAGAGCTCAGAGTTGGAAAGTATTTGAAACGGCTAGGGCTGCTAAAAGAGCCGCTGCCAAGGCTGCAGAGAGGGAGAGCACATCATCCACCCGGATGTCATTGCTGAGCGTACCCACTTCACACAACGAGAGTGACTCTCAGAACCAATCAGCCTACCCATCAGATGTGGAGAGCTTTGCTAGTGACGGATACAGTGCTGACATGGACAGTTTATATGGGTAAGTGTATTGGCAGCCTGCGATTAGCACTAATCTTTAATTTACGATTCAACTAATACAGAATCTTGTTAATTGAACTTCATCTTGACGTTATCATTTTGGTCCAAATTAGCGGCTAGTCCAAATTAACCTGTACTTACCATATTTCTGTTGCATTGATAGCATACTTTAGCATGAATTTTGTTTTTGGTGTCTTAATCAGGTCCAACCCAGAGTTGGGACGGCCAGGCATACCAGGCTCCAATGACCTGGAGAGTGCTTTGAAGAGGCTGGCCATGAGAAGAGCCAATGAGCTGAACGAGAGGGACTTTCATGAGGAGGAGAGGAGGAAAAAGAAAGAACAAGAATCAATGCAGTGAGTAGTGAGAACTCTGTAGTTATCTCTTTGCAATTCAGGACTCGTTCTGACCCTTTAAGTCAAGTAGTTGGAAGAATTATCTTCAAAGTTTTAAACTTTACGTATTTACTAAGGAAAGCAATTTTTGCATGGGGAAAAAAGTGAATGTATTGTCTAAGGCTGGGGTGAAATAAAGATTCACACTTTATAGATCCAGTGTCTAGCCCATGACCAGCTCTTTGCTTTATTTTGGGGGTTTTATTTACATTTTCAACACTTGTTGACTCCTGATATGATGTCATGTGATGTTTGGAGAGAGACAAAAACATGTTGTTTTTTGTTTTTTTTTATTTGTGATGTTTATCAAGTCCTTGTTCAGTTCCAATATGTTTGGCTTGTCTTGCAGAAGTGGAGCCACTTCCCCATTTGGCACCAAGAGTCCAGGTTCTGTCAAGTCTTACCAAAGTGGTTACTCAAACAACTGGAGCAATCTACCCGGTTCAGGTCTTTCATCTTACAAAATGTCTGACAAGCTTCAGATTGTGAAACCATTGGAAGGTAGAAAGGCTATCCCTTTTTATTTCCGTTATTTTAGAATCTGGTATTGAATATAGTGGTAAGGAAACTTGAGGGATTCAGACTATATACCTTTAGAAATTGGTCTTTGGATATAGTGGTGAGGACACTTGAGGGATTCAGACTGTGTATCTGTAGCAATTGGTCTTTGGATATAGTGGTAAGGAAACTTGAGGGATTTAGATTGGAAATATTTAGAAAATAAATCCATGTAGTTTTATATCAGCTTACTTATATTGAACCATTTTTCTGCATATACTAAATAAAATTAACATCTGTCAGAAAAAATAATACAAAAAATTATGCAACTATGCTGGATTTGCTTAGATAATTACTAGATTAAAATTGCCAATATTACTGCTGTATTCGTCTATTTCCAGTGTGAAGTTGTGATTTCTGTTAGTTTTTAGAAAGTTAATATTAAGACTAATTCTCTATTGATCAGGTTCCATGACACTCAGACACTGGCAGCACCTTGCTACGCCTCACCTGGGAGGCATATTTGAAGAGAGGGACGGGGTGCAGATCAGGGGAGAGAAGAAGTTGGACCTGGTGGAGGAGGTGTACTCCCTGAGTGACTTTGAAGAAGATGGTAAGTAGCTTCATGCCACATGTCATGTCTGTCATTGATCTGAATGGATGTCCCATGTCATGTCACAGCTGTCATTGACTTGAAGGGATGTCCCATGTCATGTCACAGCTGTCATTGACTTGAATGGATGTTCCATGTCTGCCACTGAACACTTTAAGAATGTTTGTTGAGAGAATCTTAGTCATTAGTTGTAGGTTGTAACTGTCTCAACTCTGTCTCAACTTTTGCTCTCCAGATGATCCCAATGTCCATACCCGCAAAGAGCAAGACAGCAGTCTTATTTACACCTTCACAGATTCAACAGTTCGGAACCCTGGACCTTACCGAGGTCTGGGCACGCTAAGCAGTATGAAGTAAGTTCTATCTCATAATAGTTGACAAGTGAACTTTCAGGCCCATCTAAATGACACTAAGGGCTGATTTTGTGCATTCTGTTGAAAATAAAAAATATACAAAACATATATTGGAGGCTTGGTAAAGCGCTTGACTTCCAAACCAGGGTCCCTGGTTCAAATCCTGGTGAAGACTAAGATTTTTTATTTCAGAATCTTTGGGTGCCTCTGAGTCCACCCAACTCTAACTCTACTTGACATTAGTTGGGGAAAGTAAAGGCGGTTGGTCATTGTGCTGGCCATGTGACACCCTCCTTAACCGTGGGCCACAAAAACAGATGACCTTTACATCATCTGCCCTATAGATCGCAAGGTCTGAAAGGAGAACTTTACTTACTTACTTATTGAAAAATGTTGTTTGTTTGTCTGGGTGGAGAAGGAAATCTTTGTGTGACTATGAGTTTAGTTAAATACAGTAAACTTTCTTGTTGGAAATCTATATAATTAATTATATTATTTATTGATCCAGTTCATCAACATCCGAGTTTCCCGTTCACTCTTCAACACCAAAAGCTGAACCGCTGACCCTTCAGGCCATGGCGCAGGACAACACTCAGAGCACCTACAGCATGTCCCTTGGCCTCGCTGCTTTACTTCAGAGTCGAGAGAGTGCCGGCAGCGACAAGCACGCTGTCTCCCGTGTCTCTGCACCAAAGTTCAACAGCGCCAGTGCCCCTGACAGCAAAACGTCCCTGCCATCGACACAAGCTACCTCCCCCCTCAATTTGACAGACTTGAATCAAAGGGTGCTGTCTCGCAGTGTTGCCCTCTCCTCGCCCAGGACCCTCCCTGGGTCAAGGTCCTTTGAGCAGATTATGAAGGAGCGGGAACACTCGCCACAATTTTCTTTGGACGAAGCAGACAGGAAGGAACCTAGTCTGTTCCCTCCGGGGATGACTGGTCAGGGCTTCCTTCAACAGCTGAAAAACAAAGGCTACTCGTTGTATGGTTTGTGGGGCGGCAAGCCCAAGGAAGAGACTGCTTCTTCTGCCGACAGCAGCACTGACGCTGTAGGAGGTGCCACTGCTGCGCCAGTGGAAGACCCCAAAGCCAGCGCCAAATCAGTGTTTGTCAACGGAAGTGGAGTAGGCGTGCTGGGCGCTCTCACAAGCTTTAGAAGGAGTGGAATTTTGTAAAGCAGCCAAAGACAGAAACTATTATTTATCACTTTTATATATATATATACCTTTACAAACTGTTTGATGGAGAAGATTGTACATAAATAAATCTCTATACCGACTGTTGGTGCTGACAGTCTTGACTTGGTTGATGTCAAAAATTCATTTCTTTGTCATGCTTTGGACTTCTGTTTATTTTATCACTTGTTTTACTTTGGAAGTTTGTTTGCAAACATTTACAGAAGTAATAGTGTAGTTAGGGCAGCATTCAGGTTAGATTCTTGTAAAAGTCACCTGTTGTTTTTTTTTAAAGTCAAAATTGTTTTACAAGTTTGTTTTGTGGTCTTGTCATCATTTTCTTAATTGCTGCAGTTTTTTTTTTTTTTTTTTTTTTGTTGTTGTTTATTTTCTGTTGTTTTAAAAGACAAACAAATCTTTGCTGAGTTTTAGCAAGGAAACTTGATTATGTTGTTACATAAGAATAAAGTCAGCAATAGTATCTTGAAGAAAAGATGCAAACTTAGTAATTGGTTCAGCCAACCATTAACGAATATTTGCAGGTTAATATAAAAGCCTAAAACTTTGTAATTAGATTGTACGTTTTTTTTAAATGTTAAGAAAAACTAACAGGAATGGAAATGACAAGATTTTATTGCAAGAAATGGTAGCATGCATTATGATGCCAGGATAATGGTTTTGTTTGTTTTCATAATGACAGGGTTGAAAGAGATGGAACTACAAGCTAGTAATATATTATATGAATGTACAAATATAAATAACAGTTATAAAGTCAAACCATTTTGATGGGATACACTTTTAATATGATGTCTAAATATGTAAAAAAAAAAAAAAAATTTTTGTATGAAGTGTACATAAACAATAATAATTTATTTTCAATTTGGTTTCTCATGCAAACTTAAACTGGACAACTTGTTCAATTATTTGTGTCAACTTGAGGGAAGGATTTTTTATTTTTTTTTTCAAATGCGCATTTACATTCTGTAAATGTTTGGAGTAAATACCTACTGTGATATAGGTCAGAGCGTTTTCGGACGCAGAGAAAAATTAGTTCAACATTCAACAGTCGGTAGTCAGGACATATTTAATGGCAGCAATTAAATGTTGTTAATATTTTGTTTCTTTTTTTTTTTTTTTTTTTTTTTTTTTTTTTGTGTTTTGTTTGTGTCTTTGTAAAATTTGCAACTCGCTCAATTTGGTTTCAGTAGATAAAGAAAAGAAGAAGAAAGAGAACAAAAAATGTTAAAATGTTGGCAATTTTTTCCGAGAATTAATTTGTAGACTTATCTATGGCAAAGTAAAATCTAAAAATGTTCTAAGTACAAACTGGCACTGATAACAAAAAAAAAAAAAAAAAAAAAAACAGAAGCATATTTAAAAAACAAAAAAACAAAACAATCATATTTAAAAGATACAAAACAAATAATAATTAAGATAAGTTTCTAGTGTATACAGGATTTATTCAAGAAAGGTTAACAATTATGTGAATGAACACTGTAATTTTACTACTAATGGTTTTGTTGTGTTTGCCATTTCAAAAGTGTGCTAGTTTAGAAAGTGTAACGACTGTATCTCAAATGATGTTTGAAAATAGTTCATTTGGTATTTGGTGTAACAGTTTCCATTGAAAACTGCCAAGGTTTAACATTTTAAAATTTTAACAGTTAGGGTTGTTCTTAAAGGTCTAAACCATCAAGATTGTATTTCCGAAACATCAGCCTTTTCTTTAGTTTCTAATAAATAATTTAACGTTACATTGCTAAAGACATAACTAGAGTTTTTATTTGAATTCTGGTGTAAAAACAAATAATTCAGTTAATGGTAGAATAAGTTTCTCTCTCTTAAAAAAAAATGTTAAGATGTGTGATTTAGCTATGGAAATTGTTGGTTTAGCTATGTTGACAATACTTGTTGGCTGTGTTAGAGAGTAGGCTACTATGTTTAAGGTCCACTCTGATTAATTCTTCCATAGATAGAAGTAATGAATTGCATTATGTACCTCATTAGTGATCTGACCTGTGTCTCTGTGATTTGATACCCTATTTTAATTATAATAATTAAAAAAAAAAAGCTCCTGCTCATTTGAATGTATGTCTGTTGTATTTTATGCATGCAAAATGTACAGGCTTATTTGATGTTATAAACAAAGTCTTGTATTGGCTTCTTTTATATAGAGATTTTTTTTTTACCTTTTTCTCTGTATCATAGAAAGGAAATGTGGAATTATTTTATCTCCAAAGCTCTATAGCCATTGTTTGATTTCAGATTTGACCTTTGTCTTTCATTGTTTGACCTTTTTATGTTTTGTTTAGCTCATCTTTTGATGTAATTTTCATCTTTGCTTAGAGTTAGAGCAATAAGTACCCACCTTCGCATTGACAGTCATTGTTCTCTGTTTTTTTTTTATTTTTCTCTTTTTTTTAAAAATTTAGTAGGAGAATGATTCTAACAGCCAGCGATAAAACTAAAGTTTATACATTTTGAATTGAAAGCTTGCATGTTGTTAATAGAAGTCTAGCTTGAATAGTTTGCATTTGTCAAATTAGTCTTTAAATACAGATTTGTTTATAATGTATAAACTATTTAAATTATTATTTCTAAGTATTGGTGATTTTTTTTTTTACTATAGAAGAACTAGGGAATATAAAAAAAAAGTTGAAGTTGTTTGAAAATGCATCAATTGGTCTCCGTGTATTTGAAAGAATTAAAGTCTCTCTTTCGAATGGGGTATGGGTCTAGAACCGTTTTTTTTTTTTCGTCTTTGAAAATGTGTTCAGCACATCTAGCCATAATTACAGAAAGACCTTGACCTCTTGATACCAATATCTTTTTCATATGAGCCTATAGGGTATTCTTTCGATCAGTCCATCTGTCTGCAGACTTCTTGTCTGATAAATTATAAGTGTTGCAGTCAAGCCAGCTTTAATTTTTAAGTAGATGTTCAGTACTTTCAGATATTTATTTATATTTGTATTGCCTCATGACTAAATCTATTTATTGTAAATGTTTGGAACTATTGAAAAAGCTCTTTAGAAAGACTTTCAATAGCTTGCATATTTCAGATGCAATGTTTGCTAAATGTTTAACTAGCAATTGATTTCATAGTCAATTAGTAATAATTTATTCTCAGGTTGATTTTGCTAGTGTAGAGCCTGCAGGTTTGATTTCACCAGTGTGTTTGCTGAGGCTCTGTTTTTCACCTGTCTCATTGACCATGGCTCAAACCAAGAGTTTGTACCCCAGACATAATGTTGTGATTCTAGTGTACATACGTATATGTTATCAAATGTAGCAGTATGTCTATTTAATATGAAATTATTACATTATCATTAGATGACTTCTTTCTTTTTCAAGTCAGGATAGACCGAGCTCAGAATAGATGGTGAAAGAATTATGGGAATTGGAATAAAAAATGACTAAAAAAAAATGGAAGCATACAACTTGTAGACATTTCACAATAGCACCGATTGCTTGTAACACTTATACTACTGAAAGATTATAGTTTCTAAGTTAACTGTACAAAACAAGTAGCTAGTACATTTTATGCTGCTGCCTGTTTTAAATAGTCAAAAGTACATTGTATACATATTGAAACAATTCAATCCTAAGATAAAGAATATATGCAATTTTTATAGCTGAATTATTTAGATTGACTAAATATAATTATGTTATTTTTTTTTTTTAAACAAATATTCTGAAAATTACTTATTAGCTACCAATTCATTGTTTATTCCTTTATATTTCCCTGCAACATAAGGCATTAAAAACATGTGCATTCAAATTGTGATTATGCAAACATTCAAATTAAAATGACCTTCAACTTAAACATAGTTTTGGTACTTTTGTTTTATCATTTGTCTTTCTTGGAAAAAAAAATTTCTTCAACTTGAATTGGACTTAAAAACTCAGTCAACCGACTTGATTGTTGTGATTCTATATAGGTCATGGAACATCAGCTGGAAGAGTTATGTGGTATGCTAGAGTTGTCTTTGCCTAACAGTGGTTCTGCTTAGACAAGTTTAATTAATAATAGAGTTATGTGTCTGGTGCATAAGTTCAAGTGTTTGTTCACTGTTCACAATGACCAGAACTGTTGCGAGTCTTTGCATGTGTATATTGTTTATGCTCATTTGATTGGATGAATATTTGTACTTTAATTGGGTCTATCTATTGTTATGTATATAAATATCATTATACATGTATCTAAATTTTGAGTCAAGGTTGAAAAATCCTCTCATTGGATGTGCCATAAGATGTTTGTCTTGTCCCAGGTGCAATAGACAGAAATTTGGCTTCTACAGTCTTTCTCCAACTGAAATAAAATGCATAAATAAATGTTTCTCCCTTGTTCTCTTAAAATATTGCTCTGTATAAATAGAAATGTGATGCTGCTTTCTGCTGTTTGGGTTGTTCCCCCTTTAGAATGAAATTTCTGTTTATAATGTTGCTGTTTTTGTATATTTCATCAAAAGACAGCTGATCGTCTGAATCAGGTAAATTTGAAATAATTCAGTGGGACCTGTCAGGAGATACACAGTCAGCTTGATGTGGGCTATCTCTGTACCAATATGGCATAATTTAGTATATCTGCTTCTTAAGTGGGCTCCAGAGCTTTCTGGACAATTTAATGGTATGTTGAATGCTAGCACCAGTGAAATAGCTTCTATCCCATGTCCATCTTGTAATTTCTACCAAACTAAACATACCAAGGATACCATAAGGTCCAAATGTTATTTGTACTTAAGTAGAGACACTTAAGTCTCTGACCTAGCACTTTTTTTTGCTTCTGTGTTAGGTATTCTAATGCTAGACTTTTAGTGCTAGATATTCTAGAGCCAGACAATATAGCTCTAGGAATTCAAGAGCTAGACATTTAATGACAAATCTGTTGGTTTTAAATTTATGGTACACATATAATCATTGCTCCTTTCAAAACGATCATTTGATGTTTAAAATACAGTACATTCAAAGTTTTCATGTGGACTCTAGTGTGATGATGATGATGTAGTGTTAGTGTTATTCTTGGGTTGAATTGTATATGATTTAGAACCACTGGGGTCTTCAGTTTCCAGTCCTAGATTAGATGTGTTTGTGATGTATTGAAGTGATTTTAGAGATGTCTGATGTCAGAGCACAGAGCTCTTGGTGTTAGGATATACTTGAGAATGTTAATGAGGACATGTGCTGATATCTCATTCCTAGAGTACTATTTGGTCATGTTTAATTGTTGTTTTATTACATTTATATCAACAGCTATTTAGTTTATAAACATGAAACTGTTAATGAATAAATATTTTTAATGAGAAACAAATGTGTGGCTTCTTGTTTGTTTTTACAAAGCTTATTTCAATTCTGTCTGTCTGCCTGTCTGCTAAACATTTTGTACAATTTGCTTCTCCCACACCCAATCTCGGATCAAGTTGGAATTTTGCGCAATTATTTCTCGTACTTGACAAAACAAGAATCAATTTAAAAAAAAAACAACAATTAGTTAATTAACTATTGGTAATTAATTATTTTTAATAATAATTAAGAATTTTTAACTCTAATGTCTAGACGGCCCTACTGAAACATGGAGAACAACTAAAGTAAGAACAAAAAAAGGTACAGACCTTCATCAACATTGTCTGAGTAATATCTTAAAAATACACTGGTACGACTACAATAGAAATCACTAAACTGGGGGGAGATGAGTGGACAGAAAAATATAGAGGTGCAGATCTTAGAGAGAAAGTGGACAGGGATTGGTTACACCCTTAGAAAAGTTAACAACAACAGAGCTAGGCAGGCCTTAGAGTGGATCCCACAGGACACAAAACTCGGAAGACCAAAACCTTAGAAAAGTTAACAACAACAGAGCTAGGCAGGCCTTAGAGTGGATCCCACAGGACACAAAACTCAGAAGACCAAAACCTTAGAAAAGTTAACAACAACAGAGCTAGGCAGGCCTTAGAGTGGATCCCACAGGACACAAAACTCGGAAGACCAAAACCTTAGAAAAGTTAACAACAACAGAGCTAGGCAGGCCTTAGAGTGGATCCCACAGGACACAAAACTCAGAAGACCAAAAAGAACGTGGCGATGCGGTATACTAGAGGAAGCCGAAAGGACAGCAAAGAGCTGGAAGCCTTAAAAAAAAAAAACTAGCAAGAGACGGTGGAGATTGACGTGTTTTTACTGAGGCCCTATGTTCCATGAGGAACGCAAAGGAAAGATGATGATGATGAATTCATTATTTTGTTTTGGTATGGTATCGAACAAGGGAAAGAAATTATACTTGACAGATGGTGTGGTATAAGTTGAATTAGTCCTCTTGATGAGGTTTGAGCCCTAAGTGAACACGTTTTTTATGCATTTAAAAAGCAATCACGGTAACATTCACACAGATACCACCTTCTTCCCCCTTGGTCAAAACAAGTGATAGGATGATACACGAAATGTCGCTAAACAAAAACTATTGGTAAAAATAATTCTAATCGCACAGATTTATTAGTGTTAGTCCAGGATGCGCTAAGACCTGTTTTGAAGTCGTCGTTCCTTTAGTATAGTTCCATGCTTAGTCTAGAAACTCTAGATTATATATAGTCTATGGTCTAGATATATTATAAATTTAATTACATGACTAAATAAAGTAAAGTTCCCCATTCAGACCTTGCAATCTAGCCTATAGGGCAGATGATGTTATGGTCATCTGTTTCAGGGCCAACGAGCAACCGTCTTTACTTTTCGCTACTCAAGGGCGCCCTATAAATCCCAAAACTCAAAATCCCAGTCTTCACAGATATTTGAACCCAGTATCCCCGGTTCAGAAGCCAAGCGCTTAACCACTCCGCCATCGCGCCCTCAATCGATTGACTGATGCAAACTAATTGATACAATTGCACGTAGTATACCGGTAAGTTTTGGGTTTGTTTAAGTATTTTTTCAAATGTTTTTCTTGTTGGTGCTTATTCTGCACTAGTACTATGGATGAACAGTTTACAGGTGGCCAGGTGTTGTCCCTGACTCACTTGGGCATGTGCTGTCTTCAGGTCTGTGCATTGGCTTTAGCAGCTTCCAGTCCAGTACGGCACTATAGTATTTGGGAGCATTTAGCTTTGGTTGCCGTTATAAACCGTTGCTGAGAGCATTTGGTTTTGTAAGCCTTTATAAAAGACCGTTTGTAGAATTTAGTTTTATAGGACCTTACTAACTGTTATTGGGAGCATTTCTTTTTGTACAGGACTGCGGTTCGTGAGTGGTAAAGCGCTTAGCTCCTGAACAAAGAGGTCCCGGGTTCGAATTTCTATAAAGATTTGTGTGATTTTTTATTATTTTTTTCGGGACTCTAAAATATCGTCCCTGAGTCCACCCTACCATTAGTCATCGAAACATATGACCTTTACATCAGCGGCCCAATAAATCGCAATATCTGAAAGGGGTACAATATAATTTTAAAAGGCAAAACAGTTTGATTACTTTGTTTAATTAGCACGTGATCTAGTAGTAAAAAAAATGTATAGCTCATTCTATATCAAATCATACAATATATATATCACCCTTCACATATCCTTTAGTCCAGTGTTTCCCAGATTGTGTTCCGCGGAACCTATGTGTTCCACGAGGCCTGGATAGGTGTTTCGCGAACTACTGGAATAATGAAGCTATCTAAATAAAATAAGCAAAGTGTTCCGATATAATACTCAGAATGTGCGAAGTGTTACATTAAGGAAAACGTTTGGGAAACACTGCCTTGGTATGTTAAACTGTTGGGGCACCACACAAGATCTGTTGACCGTCTTTCTCCATAACTGTCTTTTGCCTTGGATATAATTTCTCCTAATGAAAGGCCCGTCCATTCTTTTATGTTGTCTTCACATCGTTTTCTCTATCTATCTCTTTTTTTTTCCCGGTTCTGTTCCCTGAAGGAAGGTCCTTGCAAGCCCTGATAACCTTGTCATATGGCAGTAGAGTTTAAGTTTGCGTTTTTTTGTTGTTTTTTTTACAGTGATTAGCAGGTCATCGTGGAGTCCAATTGCTGCATTATTCCTGTTTTTAATCTTTTCATTTGTGATGCGGACATTGTAAATGATACCTACGATCTTTCTGTAGCATCTTAGTTCCATTGCTAGGATCCTAAACTCGAGATCTGCAGTCAGCTTCCAAGATTTGCAAGCGGCGCGGCAAGCATGAAAAAATGTGGCCTTAACAGAGACCAATCATTATAAACGCCTTGACCAGGGAGCGCATCAGTCTGATTTTAATCTCTAGGGCTATAACTTCCCAGATAATATACAGCATAGTTCTTTAATCGTAGCCGGTGTTTACTGCTAGTATATTGTTAAAATCCTGCCTTGCACCAGTGCTTGTGGTGCGTACGAACGCACTATTGGACTAGGCCCAGAAGTGCTGTGATAAAAAATAATACTATTTTTATTTATAAAGCGCTGTTTACAAACAAAAATGTATGCTCAATGCGCTGAGATAACATTACAAATATAAACACGAGAGCTAAAATGACAAACTAATCTAAAAAAGTTTTAAACAGATAGATTCTAGGTCTTAATGTTCTATCTTATCTTATCTTATATAACACAGACGTTACTTCAAAAAAGAAGATGATTACGTCCTACGCGTCATGCTTTAGTCATGCATATTAACCAATGACTTAAATTCTGCCAAGTCACTGGTTTTCCTGGCCAGCTCAGGCAACCCATTCCATGCTCTAATAGCACTAGGGAAGAAGAAGTATTTGTACAAATTTGTCCAAGCATATGGGGCGAGGAATGCGCCTTTATCTTTGTGTCTTTCAGAGTATTTTATTGTGTTCTTTTTGTATGTATTGTGGCATGTTGTCTGTCTGAGATCAATGGGGAGTGAATTCCAAACCTTTGGTCCGTGCACTGAAAAAAGCCCGCAGACCGTAGTCGGCG